CATGCCATTCTGCGCTGTGGGTGTCCGCTACACTTCCTGGCCATGTGTCTAAAGAAAGCCGTCGCTCACAACGATTATCATGTGACTATATACCGTTGTCAGTCTAAAGTCGACCCAAGGCCACACCAATTGAATTATTAGTTCTCGGATTTGCCTGCTTCCTTTTTGATTTTTTGTCCTTGTTATCCTAACTTTGTTACAGTTTTTTAACTATCAATGTAGTAGTAAGTGGTCTAATTGAAAGTTCAAAATTCATTGCTATAATTATAAACCATCCGGGTACGTTGACTTAATAGTTCCTATCATAGCTTTGGCCAGTATTTTAATTCACCGTCACTTAACCCTTGTCCTGCTGACATTCCTGGCACAATATTTTTCAATAATTTCATGTCTTAATTAGATCATAGACCTACAAATTTTTTTGCCCTGCAGTGGCATAGTCTTCTGCATTCGTTGCGTTTTGCTGCGGTGTGATGCGTTGCACGAGAAATACCCCCAAATCGTACCTATACAGGGTGCTATATAGATGGTACTGTATGTGCAGAACGACAATTGTTGCGCTCAGCAGGACTTAATATTTTTTATGAAAAAATCAGAAAACCAACAAATTAAATTGCTATGGCCTAAATTTCAATATCTTTCATGGCCTTGTTGTGTTATATTGTGGCACTGCTCGTCAGTTTTTAAAACATGCACTGTGATCTTTACTTCTAATCTAGTTAGTATATGGTAATTTTATTCAAATTACATGGTTGACATGTTTTATCATAACCATCAGTAACAATGGTGATAGAAATATCTCGCACAGTTGGTACACATACATATTAGAAAAGTTACATCTACTTGCACCAAATATATTGTATCTAACAAATAATTGGATGTTTACATGAATATCATATCAGCAAGTGAAGTAAATTAATTAAGGCAAGACAAATGATACAAGATACAGCTCAGCTGTAGCTGCCCAGCTTCAAATGCCTTTTTGGGCTATCAGTCCAGTCAGGGTGGTATGTGGTTCTCTTTTTAGACATGCCTGGTGAGTGCATGGCCATCCTGTCCTGACAGCTGACTTCTGGTACTGTTTTCTATCATATCCATTCTCTTTAACGCATGGAATATTCTCGCAACTAGATATTTGTAGTAATGTACAATTGCTAAAGTTAGGTGCTGCATCGCTTATACTATAGACAAGTCCTAGAGAAAATAGAGATGTGAAGCTGTAGTCTTGCAGTTGACTGTTCCAAATATTTGGTGGTAAACAGTCAAGGATGTTTACTTGATTCAATCACAGTCTTGGATCCTCTACGTACCCTACATGACTATACTGCTTTACTCTGATGATGTGGATGTGATGTAGCATTAAGGTTAGTTTGTGTAACCGGAATATGACACATGGTTCAGTTCTGCTTGTTATGGCTGTTGGGCACATTCTTGAAACCCATTGGGAAGTAGCTGTGTGTTGTGAAGAGCAGGGATGTTGAATTTCTAGTCCAAACTGACAACATTTCAAAATAAAACTCCACTCCTTGATCTCACAGGAGTTTTAGTATGGTGAAAAGACCCAGAAATTCCAAAATGTACTACCAGTCCTAATGTTTCTTTATAAGGTGGCATTATATAAAAAAACTGTTCTACTATACCAGATAACAGCCCCCCCCTCCCCTGACAAGACTAATTTTGGTTAAGTCCCTGATGGTTTGTTGTCACCACATTAGACAGTATTACTATATGTTGAATGTGTCTTGACTTAAATTTTTGAGAATATTTAGCTTGTTTAGCTGTTCATTCATTTTTGGAGTTCTGTGGCCATTGAGATTGTTTCATACATACAAATACAATGAGTGCTAACATGTATATTTATAATTGACTCAGTGATCCCAGTTAGTCACCTTATACAAGGCATTTGTCTGTCTAACTATCATAATTGTAAATTGGTAAATCACATGATGCCAGTACTGAGTTCAGAGATCTCATACCTCCATGAAATATTAAGAGCTCAAGATTGTACATGTATATTAAGTTGTTTTATTTTGTTTCATTCATTATATAATGTTGCAGTTAGCATAATCTATCTTAACAGAATGGTCTTCTATGCTCAAGTTATATGTTGCATAAATGCACACACACACACATACATGCACACACACACACACACACACACACACACACACACACACACACACACACACACACACACACACACACACACACACAAACATGCTTAAAAACAATAATTAATTTTTTATGGAGACAGTGGACAGGACATTTTAGCATAATCTATCTTAACAGAATGGTCTTCTATGCTCAAGTTATATGTTGCATAAATGCACACACACACACGTACATGCACACACACACACACACACACACACACACACACACACACACACACACACACACACACACACACACACACACACACAAACATGCTTAAAAACAATAATTAATTTTTTATGGAGACAGTGGACAGGACATTTTTTATTACTAGTACATGATTACTACCTTAAAAGAGACATTCTGCTGAAGAGCCATGCACAATTATATATATATATATTACAGGGTTCATGTATTAGGTTGGAGGTGCCCTGTGCTACATGTATCTCACATGTTACTAATGACTTGTTTACTTCGCATGCCAGAAAATGTACCGTTTAGTTACATTAGGGACTGTACGATATTTACCGGGGGGGGAGGGCCGGTCGTCCGGGGGTAGCGTAAAAAAATTTTTCCTAGGCCCTCCCCCCAGGTCAAAAAATTTTTTCCTAGGCCCTCCCCCCGGCTCAAAAAATTTTTCCTAGGCATAGAGTCATAGAGAGTGAAATTTCGTATGGGGAGGTCGAGATTTTGATTGAAAATTTTCCCCGCATGAAGCGCCGAAGCCGCGAGCCATCGCGCCGCAGGCGCCACTATAGCCCGAGTAGGCCCGGCTTTTGGGCGGGGTGGGGGGGCATGTCCCCCCCGGAAAAATTTTGAATTTCAACCCATGTTTTGCATGTTGAGGGGCAAATTTGGCAGCATAAATTTCGCTGGTACATCGAGCTATTAAAGTCAGTAACGTTACGGTCAGTCAGTGTAATCGAAATAAATCTAGCCTACCTTTCGTCCACGAACTTCTTCCGCGTCAATTTTATTACAAACAGGGAAACAATATTGCCAAGTTACGTGTTGTTTTCAATTAACTTTGGAGGGACATAGATATAAATGTTAAAATAGTACTTGGTTTAAAAAAATACCAAATTAATCCGTCGACATCCCACATCCACGCCGAGAAGTTTGAGCGAATTGCGAGGCGGGACCAGCGGGTCACCTTTGCCGACGCACGCACACCACTGGGTGCGTTGAACGGCGAAAATTAAGTTTCAAAATCTTCCGACAAGCCTTCCCTACATTTTTGATCGGTATCGTTTCCATAGCCGCGATTGACACGACTTTAATCCATGTAATTTGGCTGTGAAGTCCAGTTTCGCCGATTCTGGCGAAAATGCAAGATTTTGAAGAGGACTGTGGGAGATTTGGGCGAATACATTATAATAATAGGGATGGATATTATTGGAGCGTAAAATTCTGCCGATTTCAATGACCGGCAAATCGCTACAAAATGTATGGGACAGACGTTAATCATGTTTTGAAAGTGTATAAAAACGTTGTAGAGTTAAAGGGATCTTGAAAAAATTTTTTACCTAGGCCCTCCCCCAAATTAAAATATTTTTTCCTAGGCCCTCCCCCGGCTCAAAATTTTTTTCCTAGGCCCTCCCCCCTCAGACGACCGGCCCTCCCCCCCCGGTAAATATCGTACAGTCCCTTATTGCACCCCAAACTAGTATCCGAACAATAAATATGACAAGTTTTCTCAGCGTAATACCCTTTTAACCCCTGACCTACATGTAGATTTGTTCCCGCTGTTGCGAGCCTGGCACGTTCTCTGAAACACACTTTTAAGTTGTCGGGGACTTCCGCTGAGCTGTCGGCCAACGATTTTGGAGTTGTCAGGAGAAAATTTGACGACATCGGGAATTCTCTTTACACAGCGTTCCGGCCTCCGGCAGCAACCACTGTCGCAAAAAGCTGTGTATAAAGTGGGCCTAAAACATCAAAGTTAACAGGGATGCACAGTTTGCATGTGTTAAGTGTGCCACTCTCAGAAATTCTGTAGAATGACCTAATTGGTAGTCTTATCTCAGAAATTGCTTTATTTTATTTTTATTTTATTCACATTTATTTTCCGAGGATGAGGCAAAAAGTTATAAAACTTATCTCAGCCCTCTCCTCACACATAAAAGGATACAATAAAACAAAGTAATAATAATAAGAAGAAATGACAAGGGTACATAGTAGGCTGGTGTACAAATCAAAATGAATCAACTAAATCAAACAAAACGTCCTGTCTGCAAAATAAAGTTGAAAACCACATCAAATATGTTACAGTTGTTGACAAACGACAATGAGGGGTTACCCCTGAGAATGGTTGAACATAAAGTGTTGTCGGTGACGTTGTTTGTGTCAAATGGCAAAATGTTAGTTAGCGATGATAACATGTCAATGCGTTCGTCAGTGTACAGTGGGCAGAAATTGCTTTATGGGATCCGGATAAGGTCAGCTTTTGAGGGATAAGTGTAGCCCGGTTCTGTTCTCCTATATCTGCTTGGGTCAGTTGGCTCAAGTCAAGTAGGTTTTCCAGAATGTAAACAAATTAATTGGGGGTTTAATCAAATAGGAACAACTGACAGAAGTGGTTTGGGTAAGTAGTTTGGAAGGACTGTGGACCCAACAGGCTGGGCAAGCAATCGCCAGATTTCAGTGATAAATGTGAACCCATCTGAACTGATTAAGGGCCATTTTACACAGGGCAAAAAAAGTGTTCTACAATGATCGACGCCGTGCGTCGACTTTGGGCCAGTTTACACAGTCTAAAAATCTGTCCTACTCATTACTTTCTTCCATCTGTCTAGTACTTTAATCTAAGAACTTAAATAGTAACTGTTCTTTTTCCTTTCCGGTAGGGGATATCAAGTCTTCTTCCTACCCCTGCCTGGAAGTCTGGCCGCAATCAGCCCTTGGCCAAGACCAACTCTCCCCAAGAACGGAGTTCCCTCGAGAGGCACAGCAAGGAAGATCATGGGACTGGGGAGAATCCATTCAGAAGAACCCAGCTGGTAGGGCAAACCAACGGGCAGGAAGGTGCTGCATATGGTCCTGATGTAAACCTCTCAAGTGCAACATCTAACGGTTACAACTTACCTTACAATTATAGAAGAGTGACGTCCATCACGAGAACACCTTGCTATGTTATTGAAGAAGAATCCACCATGTCAAAGCCATTGTCGCCTACAAAAGGATCAGGAATATTTCGCTCACCGACCACTTCAATCAAAAACTTCTTTGGGAAGTTAGCGCATAAATCTGAAGATGAAGGTAATAATAATAATAAAGTGCAAAAGCATGCATCAATGGAAATCATCCCAATAGACAGTGTTGAACAGGTTTCTACGAAGTTAGGACAGAGTGTGGAGAATGTAGCAGCTGTTACAAACGGGGACAGTAAAGATACTCCACGTTCTCGGAGAAGAGCAGTAGTGGAGGGGGCGTTACCGATTGCAAAATCCAGATTGCATGGTAAAAACACAAGTTATGCCCCTCCACTAGCACATGCCTACCAGAAGAAAAAGGAGTTCAATGCAGGCGATGCTAATCTGTCCAAATGCCTGGATGTTATTCGTGCAGACGTGAAATCGTACACAAGTCTCCAAAGTCGACATCCAATAGAAATAAAGCGCAAGTTTGAGCAGGCCCGTCAGGAGAGTGGAGAGAGTGGAGACTGGGACTGGAGACAGGGACGGCCACATTCTCGCTCACGCTCACGCTCGCCTGGGTCCACACGGTCAGTTTCTCCAGTTACGGAAGGTGGCTACGACACAGCAAGTAGTTCTGAGGCACATCTGAATCGAGCAGTACATGGGAGATACCTCGGTAATATGTTAGCACCTCCCAGGCAAAGGCTTTCTGTAAGTCCTGAAAGGGAGAGGATACAGTCCACTAGTCCCTCGACTGATGGAAGACTGTCTGCCATGTCATCAGGTGGACTGTGTTCCCCGAGCCCCCAGGCCAGTCCACGCAGCTCCAGACACTCCCACAGTCCCATTCCTGAGGATGTTCGCAGCAAGTCTTCAAGTTTAGAAAGACCAAAAGTAAGTGTCCAACCACCAACACCACTGGTCAAAAGGAGATCAAGAGAAGCACTCCGAGGGGGACCTCGTGTCAAGTCATTGGAAATGTCTGTTGAAGACTATAACAACTTGTCATCCAGGTATTTCATAGAAAAGGAGCAGGAAAGATCGAAGGAAAGAACTGAATCCATTTCTCCCTCCAGACATCCCATAGAAATCAAACGAAAGTTGGACATGGCAAGGGAACGGTCATTGTCTCAAGAGTCGTCTGATTCAACGACAGGTAGACTTAGCAGCGAGGCCCAATCCACGGACAAGTTTCAAACATCATCTACAGCAGAGAAGAGAGGGACGTTATACAGTCCAACACAGCCTACTACTCGTCTTTCACCAACCAAGCAGGGAATTGCTAGCTCAGAGGCCCATCCTACTCATGAAGATCAAAGACATTTTGATAAATATGATGCAAAGTCAAAAGGTAGTGATGGAAAATTTGGATACGTTGAGGACAGAAATTTGAATGGAGAGAAGGATCTTGCCAATAACGGAGAGAGAGTGTTTTGTATGGTGAAAATTGCACCACCTGGCAGTCCTACAGGTAAGCCAGAAAGATCTGATTCTGAAAGTCCGTTAAAACCAGAAACCATTGGTGATGGCTTAGAGAATGGTTTCAAAACGACACATACATCCCCGTCTGGCTCAACGCTGTCAAACAAATCACAAACTGGGAAACAAAGGGTTGCAGGGGCATCTCCAAATAAACTTCATGTAAAACCTCACAGTCCAGATACTGCAGATTCATCTCATTCACCCAGCAACCCATTGTTTTCTACCCAGTCAAATGGGAATATGAACGCTATGCAGGAAAATAGGAGCGCAGACGGTGACATATTACCAGCACCAACAGCCGTGAACACAACATCTAGTAGTCAGCTAAGTCCTGTTAGTTGCCTTACAAGTGCCACAAGCCCCAGCAGGTGCTAGTGACCTCCCCCACAGTCCTCCAGGTCAGGGAGCTTTCTACGTCGTCAGGACTACAGAACAACCAGAACCAGTCAAGCTCCGAGCTCAGGTCAGAGACATCGGCAGCTTTTTTGCCGATCCAGTGGTTAAGAAGGAGAGGCCTAAAAGTGTGCCAGATTCCAAGGGATTTGGTTGGGTGGAAGAGCAACACTACTTCGACATGTCTGGTAGGTACGTCAAGGAGATCCGTAAAGTGGAGTACTCCCCCAAAGGGTCTCAGAAACTCGGTGACAGTGGTTACATCTCGCCTTCCAAAACACCTCCTTCCTGCCAAACCCCTCCAACAGAGGCCACATCTGGAGAAGGTAACCCTGGGCCTTCACGTAGCAGAAGGATGAGAAGAAGTCTGTCAGCTGGGGAGTTCTCTACACCTGTCACCACTGGCAGTGAGAGTGACGGTGCTAATGCACCTGTTTACACCAGGGGGATGTCATCAACAGACAAGCAGGCCAAGGAGAGTCCTGATTTACTGGCCTCTGTGAAACCTGGCTTGAGTAGACGTAGTCCAGCTCTGCGTAAAAAGATGCTGCTCCAGAAAAGCCCATCCTTGGATGCTACCGATCAGAAGCAGAAGATAACCAAGTCACGTGTCAAAAGTCCAGCAGAGCATGCACCCATTCAAGCAGCGTACGCTCCTGTACAGGCAGAATATAAGCCAGTACATGGTGAATATGCACCTGTCGTGGGGAAAATGGAGCCAACAAAGGAGGAGGTAGAGGAAAAGGTCGCCGATCAGCCAATTAGAAAAGAAACCAGGACTCCAAGAAAGTATGTGGAAAGTGGGAGGCCACAACGACGAATGACAATGCCTGATGCATCAACGATGAAAGCTGCAGCTGTTCGGAATAACATGCCTCTCGGTTCAGCTGTGAACCGGGTGGAACAGATGTATGCTAAACTAGAGCAGGACACCATCGACTATCTCTGCAAATCAGAAGCTGAAAAAAGTGGTGAGGTGAAGGACACCTCAAAACGACGCCAAAGGTTAGCGAAAAGTTTCTCTGTAGATGACTCTCGTAGTAACACAGGTGTTACGGCTAGCAAGCCCCCGTTACCAAAAGCACCATCACCTAAAGGATGGACAGATTCACCCATCTACAATAAGCCCAGCAGTGATGAGGACATCAAGTCTCGAGCAGCTAGAATTTTGGGAGTAGATGTTAAAGATTTGCCTCCTAATTTGGCAGGAGTATCTGGTAAGAAGGCACAGAGGAGAAAAGACAGGCAAGGAAAACCGACTCAAAGTGAAACACACAAGGAAGACATTCCACCTCAACCTCAACAGTCATCTCCTAGAACTGCTTCAGCTGTGGCATCAGGCAGGCCTGCCTCTGTCCTAGTGACAGTTGCATCACCAGAAGATGAGTCAAACCTGTCAGATTACGAAGGTCGAACCATCATTCGTCAAAGGTCAAAAACAGACAGTACACCCTACGAGTCCTCATCAGAAGATAGGAAGAAATTTCAGAAAAATAGAAAGAAGTCGTTACCAGTGTACACGGAAAAAGTAGCATCTGAGCTGAAGCCTCCCTCAGGTACGAGATCACCGAAGGGTTCACGATCACCCAAACAGCAGCGCTCACCAACACTACGGCGCAAGAGCTCATCTCTGCTGGCACTGAAGGCAGAGCAGAAAGACAGCAGTGAGTCATCTAGTGAAGAGGTAGACTTAAAGAAACATCCGATTGTTAGCCCGAGGCTTCGAAGAAGAGTGAAAAGGCCAAAGAGGACTGGACAGGATGGTGCACTTCGAGGCGGCATACACTGGGTGTACAACCCGTCATACAGGGAGTCTCCCCCGGACTCCAACGTGCTGACTGTGCCATCATGGGAGGACGTGATCGCTGAACGGTTGTTGGCTGGCTGTGACCAGGAGAGTGGTCAGGATGTGTCACGGTGGAGGGGTGTCTCAGAGGAAGATACACCAGGTACTTTGATGTTGTATGAGCACCTATTTAGATCATTGCATGTGCACTGCAATGGAGACAATATGCATGATATATAATAAAGTATACCAAACTCACCATCATTATAATATATGCGCATGTTGAATGACCATCTGTGATCAATATTAATGTCAATGTTACAGTCCTGCCTACCTGTCACAGTCACAGTTATATTAAAGGTTGTTGAAGAAAGAAGAATGTGAGGCACAGCAAAGTTGATAAGCGTTTGGAGCTTTTGTGTCATTTTATGTTATTGATTATGCAAGTAAGTTGTAATTAGCATGCATGTAGTCTATTCCGATTAATGATCTTCTCTACCCAAATGACATATATGTATATTGTAATGTGAGAAAGGCCATATCCTTTGGCAGTACTCCATTTTAACATTTCATCATTAATTATGCAAATGACTTCCACCTTTATATAATCTATGCATAGTGATGTTCACGTATTACTAACCTACACACGTCAATACTCACAAGTATGAAATTTCCATCATTTACCACGAAGGAATTATGACATTTTCACTGTACTCATGCAAGTAAGGCCCTCACTTGGTATCTAGATCTGTCATTCAATGTGCCAATAAATCAGGTATGTTACCTGTATTGAAGTCCTGTTTTGGAAAACACTGGGATCATAGAATTTCCTTATCATACATGTACATGTAGAAATGGTTTTGTATTAGGTCGGGTTTCTTCTTCTTCCTCTTCTTCCAGTCCATACAAATAAGGTCAATGACCTCCAGGAAACACAGTTGCAAGTGGTTGCCATAGTTACGGGTGATGTTTGATTTTGCTAATGTAGCGAGATATGCAAACTCCAACAATGATAACGAAATTACTTACAAGTAACTAATTAAACCTGCACAAGAAGGCCACCCAGGGGACAGATGTAAAGTGGTCCTTTTGGACAGGTGGCCTTCTTGGGGGTGGGGGTGGGGGTGGGGTGTCATGGTTGAAGTTACCTGGCTTGAAGAGGTTTGACTGTAATAATAATATATCAATGTGTTTGAATAAGAATAAACAGAGTTGCTATTTTAATTCAGTAATGTTACATGTTACATTATACATTTGTCATATGGCCTGCAGTTCTACACTTATCTGCTAGGGGACCTAAACCTGGTCTACATGACTGTCCATCTTCCTGTTGCCAAATTCTACCTGTCACCCCAAAAACCACAACCTGCCCCAAACAGATACATGGAGAACAGGAATTGTTTGATTGGGGGGGTCCTCATTAATTTGATGTTACCTACATGTAGTAATATGTACATTTTATGCCAATCCCTCTCTCTGTCATGCCATGAATAACAAGTTCATAAAAACTTTCTAAGGCCACACCGATTTAATTTCTTGGGTAACGGATTCGCCGCTTCATTTTTTTCTGATTTGCAAATAAAAATAAAAATTCAGAATCAACTGCAAAATGCTCATATTTTGCCCTGAACAGTTGAAAACAGTCCTTTTCTTACTACTTGTCACAGTCATTCCATATTTCAATGCAGACTGGTATCATTAAAAGTTCAAAATTCATTGTTTAAATTTTGAACCAGCCTGGTGTGTTGACTTCATGGCTCCTATCGTACCATTTTGGGCCATAATAGGATGCCTAGGCCTGTTTTTATTTATTTTTTTTTTTTCGCCCGCCCGCTCCATTATTTTTCTAGCAAAATCCGTTAACCAAGAAATTGAATTGGTGTGGCCTAAGGTTACACAAAAAATCTTTGCTCCTCGATCTTGACACGAATTTGATTTGATGAGTGATCACATGTGGACAAAGTAAAACAAACCAAAATGAGTAACACTAACAGTTACTGTTTTTTGCCGAAAAACAAACCAAATTTGAAATCTGACTTTCTAAAGTGGGCAGATACAGCTATCTTCTCAATACAGCTCTCAACATTTGAAAGAAACTGCAGCATTCAAGTCTAGCTGCACTTGTAGAAAGTCTGCACAGACAACTAGTCATGAAGTACATGTACACATGTACGTAGCGGAGATTGAAGTTTTGCTCTGGCCCTTATCTCTTTGTTTTTTGTGATGACCTGAAGCTCATTTTAATTTGAACTTTTCCATAAAAACATTTGAGAGTCAAGAATGTAGATGTATGCAGCCTTTTCGTATTATAAACCACATAATGTCATTGGTAAAACAAAAGAACCTCCTGGGAGGAGGTCAAAAATTTTAAGCTGCCTGAAACTAAACATGTCGTCTGTGTACTTCTGGGCCCTGGTACTTACTCCTGGCATGTAGAGTAAACAATGAGAACTCACTGCACGCAGTCATCCGGCCCTGTCCTGGAAGGGGGGCGGCATGCCTGTTTCTGTCAGGCGTAATCAGCCGTTTTATTCTGTGTAACTTGTAGCCAGACTGCTGTTTATTGTAATAACAGCATTCTGTGTAAATTGTAATTTGTGCCTGAAGTTGCCACAATCTGTAGACAGACAGCTTACATTTAGGCCACGCTGATTTAAATCTATGCATTGATTTTCGTCTATGCTAAAAAAAGTCACCAGACTCCTCTTAAGCTCTGGGCTGGGTGCCATCCTCAGTAGTCCATAGTACCTAGCGACATTAGAGAGCTGGCGGTAGCTACGGAGGATGGCACTTAGGCTGCCAAAGCTCCACGGAACTCAAGAACTCAGTACAGTACTGACTAATAAATGCCTCAAAAGGCCAACATATGCCGGCTCATAAAAGTCGCTATGTACCATCACAAATTCACAATCCCAGCTTTGTATGCCTGTGGTTTAGCAGCATTTTTTTTGCCTGCATTTTTTTTAGTTGCACTGGACTGGTGTAAAATTACTGTAGTGAGAGAAAAGTTCTGGTTGTGTAAAAGACCTATGTTCTACCAACCTGATGAAACTATTTTTGGATATGATACATGTAGTGTGTAGTGTCATAATTACCTGCATTTTTTCTTAGCTTCACCAAAATGCCACCTCAGCAAAACAACTGGGTTTGAATAAATAGTTCATAAAACTCAGCCTCTGTTTTTTTCTGACCAGAAAATTGCAAGTTTCTAAATCTTTGACTTTTGCAAGCAACTTCAATTTCTGTGCAGACTGCAGGTGCATATGTTGAAGCAAGGTATAATGTCCTTGGTTGAAGACTGGTAGGGTATTCTATAACTTAGTGAGTGTAGGTCACCCCAATATTGGCCGATGTTTACAAAGGCTGGAATATAATATTAAGGTATATCTTTATCATTGTTTTAATATACAATTTGATCAGATTTTGGTTTAAAATGTCATATGTAAAAGAAAGTGCATAGATGACCGTCAAAATCATCATCATCACAACGTTATGGAAGTGTACCCAAAGACACTGGTGCATGTAGTCACCACATACCTTCCCATGCAGGAGTAAACACTGGTGTTCCCATTGTTGGTTCAGTCCCTGTCATGCTGGCTGAACACCTGAACACAAGGAGATGTTTGTCTTAAGCAGATCAGGGATACCTGTGGGTCAGGTTTCACCAAACTGTTGACATTACAGATAGAAAAGGTGGTCTCAAACCCACTCCTGTGTGGCCTATATAATTTGCTAGTAACTACGTTAATGTAGCAGGGAGAGGATAATAAGTAGTGGTGTTGGGGATGTGTTAAACCCCTAAATAAGTTTTTGTGAAAAATTAGCGATGTTATATCTCAAAACAGTCAATTAGCCAGTTAAGGTTTTTGTATAAGTCTCCCCTGTTGTGGGATGGTATCGCCCAAAGTGCTCTGTATCTCATTTGCATATCATTTACATATTCGGGACGATTTGAATGAAACCTTCCAGGGCAGGAAGGTGTGTTCTGCACTGTTTACTGACGCCTTTCTCACACTTTTAATCGTGTGTTTTTGGTGGTCATAACGTCATACTTCTGCGGGTTATATCATGGAGTAACCATGCCGGGAATAGCAGGTAAGCCAGCTAGTTTTGTCGTCGTAATTTCCTGACTCGGCTATCTCACGGCCGGCCAGGTGTGCGTAGTTTTAGAAGTGGACAGGAAACAGGTAGTCGTTACGCTAGATGTGTCACGTCGGTCAAGGCGGTGAACAAAACCCCGGCAAGGTTTAGGCAATACTGTAGTGCTGACATTGGCTTTTGTAAGTCAGAAACATGTCTACATAACTCTACATATCTTCAATGAGTAGTGGAGTACATGATGGTCATGTCGTGTGGCATAACAAACTGTTAGAGGATCGGGTTCTGGGGAAATACACGAAATAGTCAAGGTCAGGGCCGGGACGTGACCCGTAACGGCCGCGATTGTACTCATTTATTATTACCACAAATTTCAGAAAAGGCGGGACATTACGTCTTCCATGGTTTACAAAAGAGAAGTCAAACCCTTCAGACATAGTTTTAGACGTAGCAATTTTAGACAATTAGATTTCAGTATGTACATTTTTAAGTTTCAGAGTTCTATGTTTGTAATTTGCAATTAGCCTTCGGGCATGGATTTGCAATAAACTTCTTCGATTATTATTCGGGTGAATGGATCAGTCAGGAAGTCACCAAAACTTGGGGAAGGTAAGTTACATGGCTGTTTTAGAGCCATGTAACTTACCTTTCTATTTATTTAACATGTCCCTTTTGTTTTTACTTGACATTTTTAGGGCAGGCTTTTTCCTGCCAATCTTGTGAAAAAATTATTTTATTATTACTCAGGTGAATGGAGCAGTCGGAGTTAACAAAACTTGGGGACATGGCTGTTTTAGAACCATGTAACTTTACCTCTCTAAAACATGCCCATTTTGTTTTTACTTGACATTTTTCTGGGCAGGCTGTTTCCTGTCAATTTTGTAAAAATATCATTTTATTATTACTCAGGTGAATGGATCAGTCAGGCAGTTAAGAAAACTTGGGGACATGGTAGTTTTAGAGCCATGTAACTTTACCTGTCTAAAACATGTCCCTTTTTGTTTTTACTTGACATTTTTCTGGGCAGGCAGTTTCCTGCCAATCTTGTGAAAAATTATTTTATTA